TGTTTAAAATAATTGAATAACTCCAAGGTGATAACCAAGATTTCTTTTGGGTGAGTGTGGCTAGTCTCTGTATTTGCTTCTTATTATGATTAAGGTTCTGTGTTTGGGTTTTATTCTTCCCACTTATACTTATTTTCTTTCTTTTAAAATAAATTTCTACTCTTCTTTAAAAAAAATAATTGATTAACGCCTTTTATCAAAATGTATACACTCTTGTGTGTGTGTGTGTGTGTGTGTCATTTTAGCTGGCATAAGGATGAATAATTTTTTGGAACACCGTGAATGGATGTATAACCAATACGATATGAACGGGCTTCTTCAGAAGGATTGGGTACTCCAAATTGGAAAATGGGTGGAGCACTGTGAGTCACACCCAAACGTCGACAAAGTTGGAGGTGTTATGCGTTGTCCGTGCAAAAAATGTAAGAACACTAAATACTTGAAATCAGAAGACATAACAGAGCATATTTTCCGACGTGGATTTATTGATAATTACTACGAATAGGTTTGCCATGGAGAGAAACATGGAGGTTACATCACCCATCAACGACATAAAGTTGCACGTACACAAATTGCTGATGAAGATCAAAACCATCTCAATAGACAAAGAATATGTGGAGATGGTACATGATGCCGCTAGACCTACTCTTCGTGTTTTTTTATGAGGAACCGAATGCTGAAGATAAAAGGTTTTTTAAAATGTTAAAAGCGGCGGACAATGATTTATGGGAGGGTTGTACCAAGATGTCTTAGTTGTCTACAGTGGCAAGATTACTAAACATCAAAGCCGATCATCACTTGTCTGAAAGATGCCTTGATACAATATGCCAACTTTTCAATGATACTCTCCCTGAAGACAATTCGATGGTGAAAAGCTTTTAGAAGACCAAACAGCCAATTGAAGGTTTGGGTCTCCCTGTGCAAAAGATACATTATTGCATTATGGGTTGTATATATGTTGTACTGGGGAGAGGATGAAGGTCGTACCATGTGCAAAGTTTGTTACAAGCCTAGGTTTAAGGACGAGAAATCAAAGGTCCCGCATAGACAAATGTTTTATTTTCCTTTGATACCCAGGTAGAAGAGATTATAAATGTCGAAACGCACAGCAAAACATATGAGGTGGCATGCTGACTATGTCCATGATAATGTTGGTGAAATGTGTCATCCTTGTGATTCAGAGGCATGGAAGACTTTTGACAAAAGAAATCGTGAATTCGCTTCAGAAGTGCATAATGTGCGACTTGGTTTGTGCACAGATGGTTTTCAACTGTTTGGTCAGTTTGGTGCTTCATATTCCTCTTGGCCAGTAATGGTGACTGCATATAATCTTCCTCCGAATATGTGTATGAAAGACGAGCACATTTTTTATCCATGGTTGTTCCCGGGAAATCAAATCCAAAACAAAAGATTGATTTCTTTTTGCAGCCCTTAATTACAGAATTGAAGAGTCTTTGGGTGGGGGTGTTGACACTTATGATGTCTCATTGAAACAGAACCTTCAAATGCATGCTTCTTTGTTATGGACCATAGGTGATTTCCTCGCATACGATATGATGTCTGGTTGGAGTACGACGGGTAAAACGGCATGCCCAGTTTGTATGCATCAATTAAAGTGTTTTAGGCTATAACATGGTGGGAAACAGTCTTAGTTTGACTTGCACAGAAGATTTCTTCTACATGATCACCCATATAGGAGAGATAAGAAAAAATTCAAAAAGAATCGGGTGGAAACATCACAACCACCCATTCTTAGAACAGGTGAAGAATGTTTTGGAAGAAATCGAATCATTAGGACTGAAAAGAATTATAGACATTCATGCTGAGGACGTGAAAGCTGATATTTGCAAGTCCAAAGGTTGTGGATGGAGGAAGAAGAGCATTTTTTGGGACTTACCATACTGGAAAACGAATGTGGTCCACCATAATCTCGATGTCATGCACATTGAGAAATTTTTTTGATAACATTTTCAACACCGTTATGGATGTTCAAGGCAAGTCAAAAGACAATGCAAAAGCACGAGAGGACATCAGGTTATACTGCTCTCGGAAAGAGCTAGAGTTTGATACACAAACAAGAAAGTATCCGAAAGCATCATACACCTTGGATAACTCCCAACGCAAGATTTTTCTAGATTGGGTTAGAGATTTGCAATTTCCTAATGGGTACATGTCGAATCTTGCACGAGCCATCAATCTTACGAAATTAAGACTTTTCGGTCTTAAAAGTCATGATTGCCATGTCATTATGCAAAGACTCCGACCTATTGGGTTTCGAGAATTTCTATCCAAAAATGTGTGGGAGGCAATAACAGACATCAGTAACTTCTTCAAGTCCCTTACTACAAAAACTATTACTGTTGATGAAATGAAGAAGTTGTGGATGAATATACATGTTATTCTCTGCAAACTAAAAACTATATTCCCACTTGGGGTTTTTAATAGCATAAAGCACCTACCCATTCATTTACCTTTTGAGGCTAGAGTCGCTGGACCAGTGCAGTATAGATGGATGTATCCATTTGAACGGTATGTATTATAATCATATTTCTTACAGCGCTCAATGTATTATACATCTTACGCTATATGTATATGTATTTATTATAGCTATTTAAACCGGCTGAAGAAAATGGTAAAAAAAGGCAAGGCTTGAAGGGTCTATTTCCAATCCATACCTCGTTCGAGAAGATTCATACTTCTGTTCTCATTATTTCGAAGAACACGTATATTCTAAGAACACATAACGTTCACCAGAATGATGAGGGAGATTGTGCAATGAATGATCCATAGTTTTTTTCCATATTTCTACATGCAACACGCCTACAAGGCAAAGGTAAGAAGAGGTGGTTGACACAGGAAGAGATGAAGGCTGGTCACTCTTATATACTGTTGAACTGCCCTGAAATTGAACCGTTTGTGGAGTACGTACTCATATTATGTTATATTACCTCCAATAGTTTTATCTAATCGTGGAATGTCACATTGACTAATTCAATTCGTTGTAGGAAATGTGCTGAAGAATTGAAATTGAGCAATCCTTCAATGTCAGATGAGAATTTATTCCAACATATTAATGACAATTTTCCATCGTGGTTAGCTAAGCATGTAAGCCATTTTTTACAAGGCACAAATCCTTTGAATTTTTGCGATATACACCAGCTTATGCTTTCTGATATTTTAATTTATTGGTTCAAACTTATACGGAGATCGAGCGTGTAGTTCAAGATATGGTAGGTGATGAAGCTGGGTATAGCGGTAAGTCAATAAAATTAACTAAGACTAACTCGGGTCGTTTCACAAGGATTGGCAAAAGGAAGTATTTGTTAATTATCTTAATATTTTACTTCAAACAATTAATTTAGAGCAATCAAGTTCAAAGCAATAGCAGTAATATGATTAATCCAAACAATAATTAGAAACATGTATGAATCGAACAAGTATATGGGCTAAGATAATAATTTTAGATTAAATTAACTTCTTAATTAATTTGATTTTATATCATTAACTTATCCATTTTTCAGGCCTCATTAATGTGTCTAAATATGGTTGGCTGGATTATTTTTCTTAACTCATAGACAAGCTAGATAAATAATCTCCAAAGATTAATTAATAAATTGGCCAGATCTATTAATTAGTGAATCTCATTTTAGACCATTGAATCAAATTAATCAAGTTACTAACTTAATTTTAACTATTAATCATTAGCCCATACCCTTAATTCAATTCATACCTAAGTATAAATTTAGCCACTAAAAGCCATTAGTTCACAATTCAAACTAAGTATAAAAGATAATTTATTAATAAAAGAAAAGTTTACAAGAAAGCTTACAGATCTTGAAGAACTGAATACAAGGCTCACAAATCTTGAAATCAACACTCTAAGCTTTTCTAGAAGGACTCTCAAACTCAAATAAGGTGAAAAGTGGAATTCTTGGAGTGATGGGGAAGGAAATGGCCGAATGGGGTATTTATACCCGAGCAGTCATCACAGGCGGGCAGAGGCCTGTCTGCCCGCCACCGCCAACAAGGGAAGCTTCTGGATCACCGATGTTTCGAGAATCAACGACAGGCGGTCACGCAGGCGGGCGCCTGCTAGCCCGCCGGAGCCAATTTTCCCCGCCTGCGCGTGTGTTCGCCGCCGAAACCAGCTTTCGCCGTTTGCTGATGCTTGGCAGGCGGTCTGGTAGGCGGCCGCCTGCCTGGTCGCCTGTCGACACTCGGCTTCTTATCACTTGTTTTGCTTCAATTTTGAGTCTGAACACTTTTCTCTCTTTCTCCAACTTCCAATTCCATTCCAGAATGAAAATATTACTAATTTCTTGTTGAAATCAAACAATATTTATTTTTCTTGGCCCATTCAATTTTACTACTCAAAAATATAGATATATGACTTTTAATCGAAAATTATTTCTTATTAAGATGAAAAATTATAAAAAATATGTTAAATGCGAGGATAAAATTATATATAAAACGACTTTATCAGTAGGGGTCCATTACCTCTTGTAAATACCTATCCCATATGTTTTGTTAATGGGTATCGATTCCACACTGCAAAGCATGGATCAAAGAAAGCAACATATAATAGTGGTGTTTCCATTTCTGGCAGGTATGGGGATTACTATGGTGTAGTAGAGGAAATTTTAGAAGTTGAATATCCTTCTTTACCCTTGAAACGATGTGTACTATTCAAGTGTCGATGGTTTGATCCAACTCCTAAGCGAGGTACCAGGATCCATGAGAGGTACAACATTGTTGAAGTATCAACAAGGGGAACTTTCAATGTGTATGAACTATTTATTCTAGCGTCACAGGCAGCTCAGGTTGCTTACTTGGATTTTCCAACCGCAAGTAGAAAAAAGAATGATTGGATGACAGTTAGCAAAGTTTCATCTCGTGCCTGGGTTGAGAAGGATATGAGTGCCACAATACATGTCATGGATGATGCATTTCAAGAAACTTTGCAAACTATGACAACATTAGTAGAAGACGTTGATATGGATGAAATAGTTTTGTCAAGGGGAGGACATGCTATGTTTACAGGTGGAGACGATTTGATGGAAGAGAGTGAGGATGAAGATGACCCTGAGCTTTCCTAAGATGAAGCAAAAGACGGGTTGTGATTATCTGAATCATCTTCAGAGGAAGACAATGACAAAACAATCTAATATCTTTTTTGGGGTATCAACTAGAATGACTTAATACAATTAAATTTCAATTACATTAATTATGAAATATTTATAAATTTGTTGTATTTTCCTACAACTATCAAGGTGTAATTGACCTTTTTAATTATTATATGTAGATGGCCATTGAGCAGGTTGCACTTAAGTTGCAAGAAGACACATCCAACCCACAAACTCCGACCACCAGTACCATTCCTCTAAACTTTTCCTCTATTCATCTTGACCAACTTACCCCTACTTCTACAAATCCACAAACGTCATCCACACATATTTCACAATCTTCTGAGCAGCTTATAAAGCCTGTCAATCAGAATACTTCTGGTGTGTAAACATATTTTAGATTAATGTAATTTTTATTAGAAATAATGCAAATATTCCTTTATTTGATGATTATTAATTGCTATATTATAGCATCAAGATCATCTACCAAAAGAACTGATGAGAGTGCTAGAGGATCGGATTTTGTCAGAGGTCCATCAAATGAGGGGTCGTACGATGTTTATGTTGCTGGTGGCGAGAAAGTATTTGTGTTATGTATGTTATACTTAGATCATTTGTTTTTTAAACTTAATTGATTATTTATTTTAAAAATTATGGTCTAGGATTGTGCTTATTACAGGGAATGCCTCGAGTGTTATCGCAAAGTCTTTTCATTTACGACTCGATCCAGAGGGGAGCATGTGGTCTTGGGTATCGAATGAGACATTGAGCTTTCACTTGGAAGAGTTCAAGGTATTTCTCCTACACTATGATTCACAAGAATGAATATAACTCTCAATATATGTGTAAACAACATCATGACTCTTTTGAGTGTCAAATTTTTGTAGAAGCATTGTAGGTGGCCCGGTGGGCTATTAGAGGATGCATTCTATAATGAATGGCTTGATAGGGTAGCAGAGCGATATAGGAACATGACGTCCAACATTAGAACGGGGCGCGTGTTGGCCTTGAATGTCGTACCCCGTAAACGTTTTGATGTGCCAAATAAGTCTTCCAATGCTACTAACATCATTTACAGATTAAACCAAACGCCAAACCTCTATTAGCTTGTTTAGCATCACCGAGATGTACTCCTACAAGCTTAGAAATATTTTTGTAAAGGTAATGATATATTTTAATGACTTACTTATGCCCTTTCACTCAAAAATTATTTCTAAAATATCAAATATATTCTTAGTTGGGGTTATTTTGAAAACGGAACACAAAAAACGAGTTTTGGAAAAATCTCACAGGTATAACGGTACGTGGCTACCGTGTACACGGCACCAGGATACCGCCTGTAGCCAAGTGAACGTACCGTTGTACGTTTCACTTGGGTGGTCACGGTACCCCCCTACCGTGGTAACGGTACATGGGTATCGTTGGTAGGCTTGGAACGATTGGCCAAGCCGTTAGCCGAATCCATTTTTTGGCTTATACGGTACCCCCTAGTGGTAGGCTGTACCGTGGTCACGGTACCTAGGTACCGGACTGTACTGACCCTACCGTGAAGGGTACCGTATCCGTTGTTAACACTGTAGCTAATTGCCAATTTAAATTCAATTCACCCCAAATCACTTCCTAATGGCATTTAACATTAAAAAGTCATATTTTAACCTTCCAAACTCCTATATAAACCCCCTCTAAGTCTCATTTTATACACAACAACTTCCTACTTAAATCTAAAGCCTCTTTCTCTATTCTTGAGTGTTTCTTAAAGCTTTGTTCTTATTATTCTCACTCTTTTGAGTATAAAGATTTCATTATTTTTATACACTCACACACAATGGCATTTGTGATTTATTATTTTATATCTTGCCTATAGGCTTTTGTTGTTGTTGATTTAATCTTTTGTTCTTCTCCTACCCAATTCATATTTGTTATCATTTTGGTAGAGAAGCAACATCAATCTTTTATTGATTTGTAAAAGGTGTGGATAGCCTTTAAATCCTCATTGTAAGGTTGAAGATAGCCTTAAAATCTTCGGTTGTAAACGGTTGAGATAGCCGTAGTAAAATCTCATTTGCTTATTGGCAAGGGTTGTTTGCCAAACCTCGTTTGAGTCTTCTTAGTGAAGCCAAACAAGTTAGTGGAGGTTAAATCCTTGAAGAGGAGCCTCGAGGTACTGGAGTATGGAGTTCCCAAACCAGTATAAAATCGCTTGTGTCGCACTTTTATCTTTTATACTTTTCTTGCTCCTTTTCCGCTATTACTTTGCGCATAAGTTTTTGTTTTTTACGAAAAACTTTCAAACACCCTATTTCACCCCCCTCTTAGGGTGTAAACCGACTTTCAATAGGTATCGGAGCAGGAAGTTTAATCCTTTCAAACTTATCTTTTAATTTTTCTTACGACACATGGATTCAATGAACTCCCAAAGCATTACCATGCCACCATTCTTCAATGGGGATAACTACGGCTATTGTAAAATGCGAATGGAAAATTTCATTCAATCCATTGACTATGATTTATGGATAGTCACTACTCATGGTCCGTTTGTTCCTATGACAACTATAGGTGAACACCAATGGATAAACTCACAACCGATGACAAGAAAAAACTCTCCTTGAATGCCAAAGCATTAAACGTATTGTTTTGTGCCTTGGGTCAAGATGAGTTTGCTAGGGTGAGCTCTTGCAAATCTGCAAAGGAAGCATGGAAGCTCCTAGAAGCCACCCATGAAGGAGACAAAGACACCAAACCTACCAAGATAGCTTTAGGAACATCCGAGTATGAAAACTTCAAAATGAAGGCCGGAGAATCCGTTCAAGATATGAACAAACGATTCAACCACATTGTCAACAATTTGAGTAAGTTAAATAAAATTTATCCTACTAGTGAGATTAACACCAAGATTATATTCTCCCTTCCTAGAGAGTGGCATAGTCTTGTTGTGAATTTGTTGCCCAAATGTGCAGATGTTGAAACCTCCACCATTTGGAGCAGCCTATACTCTCACGAGCTTCTTTTAAAGAAAATGAAGGAAGAAGAACAGGTTCCTATCATCAAGAAGACCATGGAACTCAAAATTGATGACCATCCGGAGAGCGAAGGAGAAAGTGATGAGGAACTTGCCATGTTTAAGAGATACAAAAAGTTTATGAAATAGAACAAGGGCGAATCCTCAAAGAGATTTCCACCAAAGAAAGGTAAATCTAATCAAATAACTTGTTATGAATGTGGAAATGTAGGACACATCAAACCGGAGTGCCCAAAGCTCAAAAAGAAGGAAGAGCTTAAAAAGGGGAAGAAGAAGGTATTGAAGGTCACTTGGGATGATTTAAACTCGGATGAAAGTGATAGTGACCAAAGCCAAGAAGAAAACGTGAATGCTTGCTTCATGGCTTCAAACGATGAGGAAGAGGTTAGTTCCCAAAACTTATTTACTTCTTTTGAAAGTCAAATTACTTTTGATGAGTTAAGGCAAGCATTTGATGAATGCCAAGAGGACCTTTTTCGAACCATTAGGGAGAAAAAGGAACTCAAAGTGGCTCTTGAAACTTCTCGAGATGAAAACAAAATTTAAAACTTAATCTTGAGAAGCTTCAAAACCAAAATGAAGAATTTCAAAAGAAAATTCAAATTTTGATTAAAGAAAAAGACAAGGCCAAGCGAGGGGCTTTGGAAATGTTTTACAATAGCTATAACTTAACAAAAGAATGGAAAAACCAACCAAAGCTGACGAAAGAAGGTATTGGTTATGGTGAAACCACAAATTTGATGAGCATGGCTACAAATCATTTTAATACCTCAAAAACTAACCCATCAAACCAAGCCTCAACTTCTATATCAAAAGTAAAGGCTTGCCACTACTGCATGAAAGCTAACCATATTGTGACAAAGTGGCCAAACAAATGGTTAGTTGAAATGCGTAGATTAAAATGGGTCAAGAAGGGTTCTAACCGGTCAGAATCCAAGAATATTGGATATCAAAAGAAACCCTTTTTGAAGGAAAATAAAAGAAATGATGGTGGATACTATTTCTTTTATTATGACGAAAAAAAAGTCCATATACCACTTCCGGAACCAACCAAGACGAAACCCA